GAAGAAAAAGACACTAACTCTTCAAGAACAAAAAATACATATTCTAAAATACAAAACACACAGAGTGAAGAAGAGGAGAATATGATGAATGGAGATGAAGCAATAATAAAAAGTGCTCTAGAGAAGGTAAAAGTAATTTCTTCTTGTAACTTGCTAAATAATTTGAGTGATGCTTCACACAAGTTTGGATGAAAAATGGGAAATATGTGCTTATTAAAGAGATTTATCAAGTCTTTTTTCCTTGGGCCAGCTGCCCACTGATTGTTCCAGTGCTCTGTTGAATATATCTGTGTTAGAGGCTGCATGTCAGGACACAAGCCAGAAGGTACTAAAGCATGACAGGAATAGCTGCCAAAGCTTATATAAATTGACAAATTGCAGTGAATAAAGAGAATAGGCTGTTTGAAGACCTTGTATAAAAAGGTTTTGGGCAAGGCAAGAGCTAGAGATCTGGACAGGAATATGAAAAGACACTACAAATAGTCTTGCATATCCAGAATGAGTCTCTGAGTGCAACCAGATACTTCTATAGATATGAACCATAGGTATTGGTTTATCAGACAGACTTATCCAGTTTAATTAATGCTTAATCAAAACTTCAAGCTCAGAAGGCTCAGGTTTTGGCCCCCAAGTCAGCTGCATGCCTTCACCTACTAAGGTGTTTCTCTACCAGTACTGCTTCTCCTTGGTCCTGTAAGCTCTTTGTCCATATCAATTACAAATTTATAAGGAAATGTCTTTTACTGCATATTGATACCCTCCCCTGGGCTTCTGCAGACACAGGTGCCAATTATAGCTCTGTTCTCACTTCTCCCAGGGAGACCCATGGCTAGAGGGGATAATTATTGCCATCTTTCTGAAGCAGTCTCTTCTTCCTGGGAATTCATGGCCTGTTATTTTCATCAGCCTTGTGTTGTGTGTGTTACTTAGAGCATGATGATAGCCATATTCACCCTTCAGCTTAGCAAACTGTGAGACCAAAAAAGAGAATGTATCCTGCTCTTTTAAGTGCTCTTCTGTCTTGGTGTCAATGGAAGATGTCATGCTGTAACCTTCTGGTCATGCACTGTTGTGATTTATACTTGAAATATTTATACAGCTTTACCTAGTGTAGCAATTCTATCAATGACCTGGGCAATTTATATATATATAAAAATCTAGAAAGCATAGTCATGCCAGGAAAAATTACTCCTTGTGAAAAAAGGGGGGGCCAAATGAAGCTTGTCTTTTCCTCTCTGCTTTCTCCCCACACTGACCATCATCTTTCAAGCAGAGTTACAGTAAAGCCTTTTTGGCTTCAAATGAAGAAAAGGGCCTTCTAAACTTTGATGAATCTCCTAAATTACCAAGAAGCAGTTTAGCTGCCAAAGATCCTATCACGTGGACAAGAGGAGAAGTCCTTGGAAAGGGAGCCTATGGCACGGTAAGTTAATGTCTGAATATGCTGAGATGTGTTGGTCATCGTTGAGCTACACCTTGTCTTAAAAATAGCTGTTGTCCTATTCAACAAATGGGTTAAATGTTTTGGATTATACAGTGAGATATGAAACATGACAAGCACAAAGCTTTTATGTAAAATAAGTAAATGCACAAGTTTTGTCTCGTGTCTTGTTTTGATAAGTGCTGGTTTCGCTGTAGGTGTACTGTGGTCTGACAAGCCAGGGACAGTTGATAGCTGTAAAACAGGTGGTTTTGGATACAGCAGATCAACTCACTACAGAAAAGGAGTATCAGAAGTTCCATGAGGAAGTTGATCTTTTGAAGACATTGAAGCATGTAAATATTGTAACTTATTTAGGAACTTGCCTGGAAGACAACATTTTAAGCATATTCATGGAGTTTGTTCCCGGTGGCTCCATCTCCAGTATTCTGAATCGCTTCGGCCCCTTGCCAGAAGTCGTCCTGTGTAAATACACCAAGCAAATTCTACAAGGGGTTGCATATTTGCACGACAACTGTGTGGTGCACAGAGACATCAAAGGCAACAACGTGATGCTCATGCCCACCGGGGTGATCAAGCTGATTGACTTTGGCTGTGCCAGGCGCCTGGCCTGGGCCAGCCTGAGCGGCACCCGGGGCGAGCTGCTGCGCTCTGTGCACGGCACTCCCTACTGGATGGCTCCAGAGGTCATCAGTGACTCTGGCTACGGCAGGAAGTCTGACATCTGGAGCGTGGGCTGCACAGTGTTCGAGATGGCAACAGGCAAACCCCCTCTGGCTTCCATGGACAGGGTGGCAGCCATGTTCTACATCGGGGCCCACCGGGGGCTGATGCCGGCCCTGCCCGATCGCTTCTCCAGCGCTGCCGTGGAGTTTGTGCACGCCTGCTTAACCAGGTAGGGAGACTGAACTGGAGAATGGAAGGGAAAACACGGGGAGTTGGTGTTCTGGAGATGGCTCATGGGAGCTCAGGTTGTGGTACATAAGGTTTATTGTAAATGCATAGGCTTTTCAGCATTTCAGGAAAGCCTTTTATCCGTATCTATATCCGTATCTATGTCTAATACATATATAAAAGAGCTTTACTCTTTATAATGGTATAAAAAATCCTTCACAGATTCTCTTTTTGCAGGTCTTATACTCATAATTTACTTTCCCTGTAATTTTCATGAATAAACATGGCACTGTTGAGTTTTGGACAAAATGTTTGATAAATTTCTTTGCTGTGCTTTGCTGTTCCAGTATTGTTTGAGTTTGGTCTATGTCAGACAAGTTGTTTTAAGGACAGTATTCTAAATGGAAGTGGAATGGAATTAAGAGAGAATTTTTAAGAGTCTTGTTTTAAAATGTGTTAAGTGATACCCACCAATTAGAGTTTGGGTTCTGGCCAAGCTCTAGCTCTACTTGATGGAGTGACTGACAATCAACCCAGATGTTTTCTGCATCAAAAAATATTCAAGCCCTTTTGGCTTGAAGTCTAAGTCTAAATTAAGTCTAAATGGACTTAATTCTTGTCTTCTGCAGTGGAAAAATCTATTATCACTGCCAGTCCAGGAAACACATACTTATTTCAAACATAATACTTATTAGAAACACAAAGTTCTCTCTGTAAAACCCCAAACCACTAGCATTCACACATTATAAGAATTATTTTTGTGGTGTTTGTTTTGTTTTAAACAAAGCTATGGGCTTCTTAAAATGTATGACATTGATTGGAGATGACAGAACAACCTGACTGACAGAGGCTCAAACAGATAATTATCACCTTTCTTAAATACATTGTTCATGCACCTGAAATAGCCAAATCAGCAGAATTATTCAAAGATTTGAAAGGATTTTAGGGGAATAAGGAATGATTTCATTAATAATAAAATATTTTAGTTTTTAATTCATAAATTCCAACAGTCTTTTCCCTTCAAGCCTCCCTTCCTTTCTATCAACTTTCCCCAAAAACCCCTAAAAATTAGTCACGAATGGATAAATAATAATAATAATAAAGACTAATTTTGCAATTAGGTTTTTACAGGTTTTTGAATTAGATTTTACATCACAGGCATAGATATTGATTTTATATACTGATTTGTGGAACCTTCAATGCAGAGATCAACATGAACGGCCTTCTGCTCTGCAGTTGCTGGACCATCCCTTTGTGAAAGGAGGACAGTGAATTTTTCAAAACTCTTGCCAAAGGAGCATGTATTTTCCATGGAAAAGATTTTCACTTGTGGAAAAAAGACCAGAAGGAACTGGATTTTAACATGACAGCAGAAATACTGGAGGGAGAGCAGTCGTGTTCAAGGAGTCTGTAATTAGGCAGCAGTGATTAAAGAGTACCTGTTCTGCAAGGCCTGTCCTTCACTGTGAACACAAGGCCACGTTGTGTTGTATCTGGGGAGACTTAAAAGGAAAATAAAGTCACCATCACTGGCATGCAACAGGCCAGGTAAGCTGGAATGTCTGTAAAATCCTGTGGAATAAGCTATGGGCAGAGAGCTCTGCACCTTGGAGATGAGTAATGAGTGTGAGGAACCTCAGACCATCTACTGGCATGGAATGTCCTGAGGCTTTTATTTAGTCAGGTGGGCCCTTCTGTTTTACTGGATGGGCACTTCCATTTTTAGCTGGTGAATGAGGTTTTTAGGTACACAGATCAGCCCTGTGTTCCTGTGGCCCTGAAACTCCACAGGATACTGTGGTGCTAATTGCAAGAGATAATGATCTGAGCCATGGGACTGCCTGTTTTAAATAAACAGTGCATTTTAGGGGCACTTTCAGGTCCCAGAAGGTTGAGGTTGGAAGGGGCTCTGGAGATGTTCTGGTCCAACCCCGTGCTCAGAGCAGGGCTGACTGCAGCAGGGTGCTCAGCCCTTGTCCCATTGACCTTGACTATGGATGGAGACTCCCCAGCCACTCCAGGCAACATGCTCCAGTCTTTAACCCCCTCATGGTAAAAGTGATTTTATGTTTGAGGACTGTCTTATAGGTCAAGTTGTCCTGTTGCCCCTTGTCCTGTCACTGCTAGAGTCTGGCTCTGTCTTCCTTTACTCTCTGAAAAGCTGAAGTGTTTCTCTGACCACTGCAGTGAGCACTGTCTGTGACTGGGTGACAGAACAGAGCCCCTCTGCACTCCAGTGGTCTTTATACTTAGTAGAACTAGCTACTACTAACTGCACAAAATTAAATAAAATCTAAAAAGCATTGTTAAGTACTAATAAAGCAAAAAAAAGCAGGTGTTAGTATTTATAATGTCCTTTTGTTGATAAGGCTTCTTCCTATCAAAATGGGGTAAATCTTTAGCCTTTGTGAGCAGCCAGGCTCCCAGAAGAGAGGCAGTAAAACTCAGCCCTACAACTGTTCAGAGCTGAGCTCTCAAGAATCCAGGACACTGACCTCAGTGTCAGCTCTGATGGAATGTGAACATTACAAAAGTAACTTTCCTCGGAGTGCTAAACATCTTAGTTACTTAAATAGCTTTCAAACTTTATTTTGTCCCAGTAGTCAGTCAGTCTCCTGACTTCAGAAAGTCAAGTCTAAACTTTATAAAAGCAAAGAGAAATCAGTACTTCTAGCAAAATTCTTTATTAATAGTTCTGTAGGTATAATGTCACATAACAATGACAGAACATTATGCCAGTATAAGAGAAATCCTAACATCACAGTAATCTTCAAAGTTCAAGCAGTTAACAGTCCTTTTTTGAGGAATATTGATTGGTGCTCATGCCAGACATCCATGGCAACATCATGTTAAAGTATCTTCACGTTAAAGTACCTTGCAGAATAAAGGCAGGAGCCTGGGCACGTGAGCTCTAGTGGGATGTACATAATTCCATGATGTGTACTAATTCTTCTCAGATTAAGGTAGAGTCTTCAACAAAGCTGCAAAGTAAATATGAGGGTTTATTTAGCATGAAATGAAACTGAGATGAGGGTCATAAGCAAAGAAAGAATGGGAATGCTCTAGAATATATAATTAATCAAAAAAAAAAGGTCGGCATTACAAACCCTCCTTCTTATGCACAGCTTACAAGCAAAACTAACATCTCTTGTTAGAGTTCTCCAATATTAAGGTTACTAGTTATTTGCAATTTGTCATGTTTAATCCAGTTAATTACACTGAACATAGTCATTAGAGGTTTGTAAAACTTGAACCTGAGGTTTTAATCAAAATGTGAAAGCACATTTTTGCTTTTGCTTAACCAGACTTCAAGAATGAGGTGTCAGTTTAAGGCCAGCACTTGCAACAAAGGTATTTCAGTTTAATCAGAGCTGTGCTTGCAGCAGAGCTCAGGGCCCAGCACAGCTAAACCAAGCTCTGTGTTAATATGGGGAGCCTTGGGTCTCATGGCTGAGCTGGTCTGGTGGAGCAGCCTACAAACAAGTCTAATTTTGCATATTTCTTACTTGAGGAGATCAGAGATTTCCACACCAAAATCCAGGTGCCTAATTCCAGGTATCCAGTGTAACAAGGGGAAAGGGTGTGAAATCCTGAAAACCGTTTTTTTTTCCATGAGACTACTCAATGAGCAGGGTCACACTTTGCTTCATGATTTATAGCGTTGGAGCAGGGTTTAAAGGCTGGTTTAAAGGCTACACCTTGCATTCTGAAAGCAGTAAGGACCCATGACAGTGCATACAGCCCGCCAAGGCCTTGCTGTGACTGCAGGTTTCAAGGTTTGGAGCTAAACCCTCAGCAGCTGAAGCCACAGCCCTGTCCCGGTACGAGCGCAGGGGCAGCCGGCGTTTCTCTGGCACCGTAACGGGAGCCGCAGAAGGGCGGGGCCACACGCAGGCCGACCCAGCTGAGACACGGCTCTGAGCTACCACCAGCAGCAGGGTGTCAACATTTGCACCTGAAAACGCACACGTCTGCCTCTCTTTCCAAGGGAGCAGAGCCTGGTCCCCGAAAACACAAGAGTCTCTTGAGATTATTTGGGTTCAAATTTAGTGCTGGTCCACAAAGCTCAGTGGGAACCCATGCAATTTCTACACCACTGCTACCAAAGCTCTGGTTCTTGCACACAGGCAAAGAACCAGCGTTCTCCCACGGAAGGGCCTCCAGGACACACTCGAGTGCCTTCCCCCTCCTATTTCTCCCTTCCCACAGGGACCTGCACCACGGGACAGCTATGGAACTTTAGAGGTTTGTACAAAACCACAATGTCTGAACTACAGCAACACCAATGTTGTTGTTACAAGTGCAGGAGTAGAGGGGAGTCAAAACCAAGCACTGAGTATCACGGTTATCAATTTAGTTTGGATTTGTTAGATCCACTTCAGAAGCCAGAGAAAGTCACTCCCAGTAGCAGTGGGAGAGAAGACTCCTGGCTCTAATTATCTCTTTAAGGTGTAAGGAGTTCAGCCTTTTAGAGAAAGGAGGAACGAACTAGCTCGTTCAGTCTGACATAACCTCCAAGGCTCAAGACATAAATTTTTAGAACTCATTATGCTTATGTGCATTTACATAAAATTAAAGAAAGCAAACAAAGTCTTTGTCCACTTTCCCTGCAAAACAAGGATGGGGAACCCTTCCACATAAGGTTTAAGAATGCATGGCGTAGCACTGCCACCCACCCCCTCAGTGCTAAAAAGAGAAATAATACTGAAACCCCCTCCACTGTTACTACCATGCACAGGCTCTGCCTCCAAGGTACAGAGAAGGAGCAGCGTAAGGTAGCACAAAATGTCTAGAATTTGCTCTTCAGGTACCAAATACCTGATCAATGTAATGGAAATAAAGGAAAAAAGTAAGACTTCAGACTTTCCAGCATTCCATTATTTGAGTGATTTGATGACAACTAGCAATGCTTTGCCAATAACTGAAAGGGGATCTTAGTGTTTACTAATGAAGTTGGAAAAATTAAACATAGGAAAATGGGATCATTTCTGCACAGTAGAGGTGAGGTAGGGAATTTTATTGAAAATACTTTTTTTTTTACAAGTTCTTAGAAATAAACTTTTCTAATCTCACACAAACAGCTGTACCTCAAAAATTCAACTAAGCTATTATGAAACATTTATATTTACAGTTAGTCAAAAGAATATACAGAACTGCCATGTTAT